CAAGTGTTTGTGGGACTGTTTGATACGAGTCACGTCTCTGGCTAGTATTATCTAAGAAAGAAAGATAACAGAATAGTATGCGTATTATTTTTCCTACGTCACAATTACAGTTAATGTAATATGTTCACTTAGAAGATGATGTTGATAATAAAATGATGCCGTTGAGGGCGATCATTCCAGATGAATATATATATATATATATATATATATATATATATATATATATATATATATATATATATATATATATTGTTTCCATATTACCTCAGAAAAAGTATAGATACAAGTTTCACAGATGAAAATTGGTACATTATCATATATATAACAGTGGCATATCACTCCGCAGAAGGCCTCAAAGTAAACAACAGTTTATGAACGTTAATGCTTTAACTGAGTGTTGGCTTGGGTGATATTTGTACAACACATGTAAAACGTATCGTCTGAAATTTATGTCAAGTGAGATTGGTTTATATTTGAAAGCGATATTTGGTTCACTTGGTATTTATGGTACGAGCAAATTATTAATTTACTTGCATGTATTGGACTATTGGTATTCTGTTTTGTGTTTGTTTGTTTTTTTTATTATGGGGTTGGTTATTGGTCAATATAGCTTTGTATACCAAGGCAGTAGTTGACTTTATTACGATTACCTCTGCACGGAATTGTACATTACCATAGAGACATACATACGTCTCATACTAGCCGCAGTGTAGCTGACAGGGAACTCGGAACTGATGTCATAGGGTAGGTATTTGAAATGAACGAGAACAGATTGTGGGAGTGATTGCTCGGGTTTAATCGCGGGAATTCTGTTTCATTGAAGGAGTAAAGTGTTCATGCTTACTTGATACAAGTTCACATGTCATTCCAGTGAGTAATCTATTGGGAAAATATCACATAGATTGAAGTAAGATCGATTGCTGACTCGGAGTCTTTTGTTGTCACGGGACAAGTATTGGTTGTGAGTTCGAATCACGTGTTTAATTTTTATATGTGCGTATATGTACATATAATATTGAATACAATGACTGGTTATGTAGGTAATAATTTCACCTACATCACCAGTTAGTCTGGTGCCAGAGAGTCAGGGATAATATTTTGAACGAACTCTGGAGGGATGACGTCTGTAAGCTAAGCATGTACACATACTAAACGCTAATATAGTTATTACCACTGGACTTAAACATAGTATTACATACATGGTTTTACCAGTGAGCTGTTTCTTCGCATTATTATATTTCCATAAGTCGGTAATTCCGAACTAAAAATTGCATACATTTTTACTGGAGGTTATATATTACCAATAGATTATATTTCCCTAAAGTTATGGTCACATCTAGTTGTAACTAGTCACTGTGGCAATCGTACATCATGTGGCATGTTAAAAAAACAATTTAACGATTTTGCAATTTTCAATGTCCCTAAAACTTGTCCATAACTTTCTCCTGTGTGCTCAGAAGTTGTGAATAATGTCTAGATGCAGATTGAGACCCATAAATTACATGTACGCAAATCCCCCAGGCGAAGGAAACGCTTACATAAAACGCTGCAGACATCGCATACGAAGTCTATCTCAACAGTTTTGTAGTTGCCTCTAACAGAAGAAACATTTTACTTTACCAATAACTGAGCATTTCGAATAAAGACAAATTGAATGTTCAAAATTCCGGTATTATCGAATCTAGAATAATCGATTTACGTTGTTCCAAACACGGGTGACCGTCATATACTATCGTGGACTACATAGATACAGATACTAGAGATAAATTTTGATATGCTTTGTATTGGATATTGAAAATGGAAAAAACACAAATTAAGGTTATTGACCTGACAGCCAGTATGCAGACC